TGTTTTAATCTCCCTTTGTCTATATCTTCCATCCAATGTTCACTTTTGGTGCTACATGACAGCTTCAGAGTTCAACTTAACATTTCTTCAATATTTTCCCATTTCAGTGGACTTCCTTTAGCTCTAGGTTTCCTTGGCTATTTCCTGAAAATGACTTTACTTTTCAAGCTATGCTTTGTCTCTTATTGTCCAACTGTGGATTCGTTTTTGCACATTGGCAATATCATCAGTATATTTTTTTAAAAGCAATGCCTCATGTAAAAAGAATTCAGATTCTAAAAAATAATGTTTTCTTTTTACCAAAAAGTGTTTAACCTGTTGAGCTGGGGGAATTATTTTACAAAAAGTCACTTTTCAAATGTAATAGTCACTAAATGCTTTCATTAAACTGAGGTTTTTAGAAACATATATGTGATGATGACTGCATTTGGGTTACCTTTTTGCTTATGTTCTTAATGGGAGTTATATGGATGTCTGTGCTTATTCCTAATAATATTTAAAATATATTTTAAGACTCTAAAAAATTTTCCTAGACCAGTAGGCAGAGAGCATAGCAGTCTAAGTGTTCTGCACATCGTGGTCATCAACTAAAAAGGGAAAAATTAGAGTAGAAATTAGTTGCATATGGTAGTTATTATTCTTGTACATTTTTGGCTATCTTTTCAGTACATTAAAATAATGGATTGGGTTATTTCTGTGGAGCTAAGACTACCTATTGATCTGCAATCACATTACTCTGAACTAATATCACAGTTTTTTTTACAGGAGGCGATAACTGAGTTTATACCTGAATTAAACTGATGGATAAAAACTTGATAAGAATTCCAGTCTCTGTATAGCAAATACCATCAGATCAAGGAAAGTAGTTTGTTCATTCAGTGATTATATCAGGTCATATTTAATATTGTGACATCCACAGGGTTATAGAGATACTACAGAATTGCAAGGTTGGGACATTATTATTAGATTATTAAAAGTTAGATTTTCTTCAGGAGTTTCATAAGCTAGGAAACATCTGTGTAGGATATAATATGATATGGCACATGTATTTGAGAGTTTCAATGATATTTTATGTACAGACACAGAATATGTATATTCACAAAAATTTTGCAATGACAAGCAGAATGTTTTATAAGAAACCGTACCACAGAGCAGCTAATTGATATTAATTGCTTTTTTTTCCTACTATTTAGTCCTAATTTATTTCAGTAGTTTTTCACTGAAAGATAAGAGAGATTAAAAGCAAACAGATGATAGCTGTGTTGCTTAGGGTCTGATCCTGCACCGCTGAAGTCAATGGAAGCTTTGTCATTGACTTCAATAGGAGCAGGATTTGAACCTTATGCTCTATCAGAACACACAGGAACAAAAGCAGTGGGCACTCTGGCATCCTGAAAGCAAACTTTAACTTCATATAACATTTGGAGTGATACCCCTATGTCAGGGTTTTGCACATCAGTTTGTGACTGAATGTAATTTGGATTTTTTGTATAGCATACTAAAAATACATTGCTGCTGGTTTTTTTGGGTGGTTTTGTTTTTTGGGTTTTTTTGTTTGTTTGTTTTGTTTGTTTGTTTTTATTTTGTTTTTTGGATTTTTTGTTTGTTTTGTTTTGTTTTTTTAAATGGATATCAGAACTCTTGCCTGTCCAGCTCTATCATAAAAGCTATTTTGGAAGGGATGTAATAATTTTTGCTAAGAAACTAATTTTTTTCTATAAAGACTATGTGAATTTTACAATCGTTAGAAGTGAAAATAATGGGAAGCTACACTCTAGTGTAACTACAGAAAGATGAAGTGAAGCTTCAGCTTCACAGAAACAGTGCTCCATATTAGAAATGGTTTTATTAAGCTATGTATGTTGAATGTTTGGTGACAACCTGCTCAGAGAAGCATGACAGCCGCAGGGCTATTGACTTTCCTGTGCACTGAGCTATTGAAAAAGCAGGTTATGTCACCATGGTCTAATGTATACTACTCAAGAATAATTTCACCAAGCTGCACAATAAAAAACTGTGTACTTGAGGAAGAAAATGAGCAACATAAAGTACAATTTAGCCATGGAATGGAGGGATTACTTTACTGATGTCACACAGAGGACTAGGAGCCCCTTTTTTCTTTTAAAAACATGGACCAGCTCTCTCCTCAATATTTATGAGTTAAACCAACTGTGTTCATAAAAACAATGATGAAAAATTAACCCTGATCTGAAAAAGCAAGTATTATTATCACACTGTCTATGACCAATATTTGAAAGGTCTCTAAGATTAAAGAGCTCTACTTGTGACATCTGCTGGGTGAATTTTTAAATCCTCAAATACCCCTTCTTCTTTCCCTTCATCCATAGTTAGATTTTTTTTCTCATGTCAACAAGGTCTTTTCAACAGTGTAGAAATTTTTTGCACTTTTCTATATTTTTGGGGAACTATAATACATAGCTCTGTGATGACCCAGCTAGTATCAAAGACTTCCAGGAAAGCTGCATTACAAAGACAAGAAATTACTTGATATACTTATACTTGGTGATACACATTCTAGAGCAGCTAATTAACTTATGTGCGAAGAAGATACAGCTTCACAGACCTTGGATTTTCACAGCAAAACAACATCCCCATATCTTCCTTTTACTGCTTCTTGTGAATTGTAGTATGGTAACAGGCTGCAGGATATAAATAAGTGCAGGATATCATCAGTAGGAACTCTGAACTCAGTGTTGTTCTTTTGTTTCAAACCTTTTGAAGAATTAAAGTGCCATTGTCATTAGAACAAACAAAACCTTTTAAGTGCTCAGATGCTTTTTCAAAGAGAAATGAACACCACTGTTGAAAAGGCACTATTGCAAGTGTTCAAGTGCTACCAAATGTGAAATCCTAATTCAGGTTGAATGTAGTGAATTAAAAAATTCTTAGACTGCAACGTCTCTATACAGTGAAGCATTTAATGACAGCATGGCATGGAGCCAACCTACTGTAATGACTCCTGTGGAAATCAAGAGAGAAGGTAGCTTGTATAGGGAGAGCTAAAGAAGTTTGCTCATTAAGCTTAAATGATGCCATGTAGAATTGTCCAGCAATATAAGACAGTGTATTTCCAGTTTCCTCTTTTTATATCTATTCTCTTCAGAAATATAGTCAGAGATTGTGCTGCATCTCTTTTGAAGCACATCATATTTTATTCAGTTACTTATTTTATATTTGTTGCCTGTGCCAATAAGCCTCCTTTTATTAGAAGGAAAAACAGATTTGGCTAAATGGGCCCTCAGTGGAGAAATACAAGTCTTCTTCTTCTGGCTCATGGCCTGGCAGTTTAGGAAGTATTAATGGCCCAAGAATAAATAGTTCACCTCTGTCAAGGGTGAAGATAGACATATTCTGTTAAGAGATGGGTATGATCTTTCAAATACTTCTGGGGTAATAAGAAAGGGAGACATCTCCCTTAATACATCATTGCTGACTTACCCACTATGACAACCCATGGGTATCAGCAGACTTTTCAGGTGCTGGAATAGTCTCAATAATTAATAGCCTGAACAATTTTTGCCAACTTTGACATGTACTGCCATCTGTAGTTTCTTCTGCTTTGTATGTGATAGAACCAGCCCTGACTCCATAGGGCCTATTCCTAATGGAACAGTTTTATCTACTACTCCTTAGTGTATGTATTGTTTTGTACACTTAAACATTTGTGTAGTCTTTCCCTGTAACAGTCAAAATATCTAATTGGTTCTATTTCTAGGGAGAACTCTCAGGGCAATTTACTGAGGAAGCCATAGTTGAAGGCTGCAAGTTGACAACAATAAAAGTGTTATTCCCAAGTTCAATAGTTAATGTTAAGATAGGAGATGCTGATTATCTTTTTCTTTGCTTCGTTAGTGATGAATGGAAGCAAATTTGATGCAGACAGCAATCTGGTGGAATGATGCAGAGCTATCTTTGAAAACATCTGTACTAACGCACCAATGCAGTAAATTATAGCTACAAGCGAACGACATTGATCCAAGAGGATCATTAACAGCTTTAACCAACTGATCCAAGTAATAGGGTAAATGAGAGAACATTATCAAGATCTGATTTTTACAGCTGTCAACTGAAATTGCTAAAACATGATTACCACTTCCTCTTAACTTCCACTATTCTATGACTTAAATTTAGTGTATCCTATTGTGGTCACCCAACAAGGATCAATTAAGTGGTAAAATACGCAGGAAAAAATTGCCCAGTGATCATGCACTCCATTTACCAGGAGGTCAGTCACAAAGGGAGAGATAATTGCTGCAAGCCAGCAAAATTAATCGGGGATGAGCCAGAAAGGATGATGTATGTTCTGTGACAAAGTACGTGACAGAGATGTACGTATAAACCTGTAGCTACTTGCCTTGTTGAGGACACAAGGACAAGAGAAGGAGACATGTGAAAAACAATTAGCATGGCTTCAGAGTGAGCAATCCTTAATTATCCATAACATGTTGACATCAGATAATTAGTGTCCCAATTTTTAACAATATTTGGTCATTAACTACAGTAGGATAAAAAAGATCAAGAGCAGAGCCATTTGTCTGAGCTAAGTGTTACATAATGGTGTCTATATGTGAACATAATACAACTAAATAATGCTTATGGTAATGACACAGATATCTTCTTACTGTGGTACCAATATAAACATTCTAAATTCAAGCTTATAACAAGCTGCTTTTTATGTTTCTGTAAGGTAGTTTGTTTGTGGTGGCAGCCTGCAAAATAAATACGACTTTAGTGATAGCTGTAGTTTTAAACTCCCTGACTTGTTGCTTTTCATTTGTACATTTAAATTTTCAGAGCAAGTGTCATAAGTTGTTTGACTCAGACCATTTTAATATTAATGCTAATTAAGAAGAGGTCATATCTAGCTCAGTTTTCTAAACATCAAAGGCTCTGTGATACATGCTAAATGGACGTCTCTTTAGAAAATTTTCCTTCAGCTCCTTTATCCTATGTCAATGTTTTTTGACCATTTTTAACTATTTTTGATAGAGAGGTAGAAATCTTAAGATCTTACCTGTAGTCAATGGGCCAGTAAAGACCTCATTCCTTACTGAATGAGGTAAATCGTGTGTCAGACACAAGAGAATCCAAATGTGCAGAAATACAGAAAACCTTAAGAAAAAATGTTTTTTGACCATTTTTAACTATTTTTGATAGAGAGGTAGAAATCTTAAGATCTTACCTGTAGTCAATGGGCCAGTAAAGACCTCATTCCTTACTGAATGAGGTAAATCGTGTGTCAGACACAAGAGAATCCAAATGTGCAGAAATACAGAAAACCTTAAGAAAAAATATTCATGGAACTGCTCAAAGTTTTCCAATGTTAATGCAAGAAATCTTAGAAGTACGGAATGGGATGTTTCATACCTTACTTCCGTCTTGTTTCTTATATATAAAGGAGAGGAAGAGACAGTTACACACACGTGTTCATGCACACACATGCCTACATGTAGCTCAGTCTCCTTTTAATCATTCTCTTCTATCCTGCTAGTATGTTTTTCAGAATTTTTCACAGATCTCACTTCCTCTTAAGTAGGTTTAAGATTAGGGATGAGGTCCTGTCACTGTGATTCTTAGCTTTGCTTTGTATGACCCCTCCTAAACTCTTAACCTACGTTTCAACAGCTCGTACAAAATTATCCATTGAATCTGGTGTTTTCTCTCATATGTGTTTATTTGCAGCAGCAGACCCTTCAGTTTCTGTATCTGCCATCCTATGTCTGCTGATGTATCTATTTGCCATCTCTCCTTTTGACCTCTTCTGTCTGTCTGTCACATAAACGTTTCTTTTTTTTTGAGAATCCCATTTCCTAATGCATCATTGAGAGCTCATATTTTTCCATAATACCCGAACTCCTATCAGGCAGTACTGGCTGAGTCAGCAGAGCAGATTCAAAGCTAGCAAACCCTGATGCTTATGTGGAGAAATGCCATTTATTTCACTAAAGAGTCTATTTAAGTTCATACAGCCTCTAATCATGGCTGTGAAATGAGGAATTGGATGCTAATATTTCAGAGCCAATACAGTAATGATGTGTCTCTGTGGACCTCCTGTGGAATTATTCCAAATATTCCCTTGTGTAGCTGAGATCAACATTTTACCCTTAGTTCTAATTTTTTGTATTGCAGCTTAACTGGTAATGAAGAGGGAAAAGTGTCATTGCACTTTATATTGTGTAGAGTTAATTACATGGAGTATTTTAGGGTTAAACATTCTGCTCTTTGATGCTGGCATTAAACATTAGCATTTAAATATTTGGAGGATATTTACATTGTTGTAGTCAGTGGAGATTGATAGGTTTCTTTAGGGAGTGATTTGGAACAGGAGCCAAGTTTAGGAATTGTGCATCGACTCATCCTTAATTACAGAGGAAGCGTTAGATTACCTTCCCTATTTAGCCAGCTAAATTAACTGGCAAAAGTTGATGACTTGAATGCCCTCTTCTTCCCACACCCCACATACACAAATGTTAATTTCTGCCACAATGTTAACATTATATTTTTACATAATTTTATTTATTTTCAAGAATGTACTAAGCAAGCAAGTAACTTTTAAAATAGCTTATTGTCTGTGGGATTTTAAAACTCTAGAAAATTATTTGCTTTTCTTATTAGTAATTCATATTATTAAGACTCTTTGAAGCTTTTTACCAAGGACTGAATTAACCAAGGTGATTAGTGAGGATATTCATATACAGGTGTATAATGAAAATAGGGATACTTCACTTGATTGCAGTTTCTAGCTTTAATGTTAAAAATGTTTTAAAAATATGAAGTACTTGTTCTATGATTTTTTTTACTGTAATGCTAGTTAAGAGTCCCCATTAGCATGGCAGCAGATCCCTTTCAGCTTATTTTGCCTACAATAATACAGTGATGGCCACTCATCAGTGTTACAACCTTCCATAGAAAAAATTAATTTGATCAGCTATGCAGTGGCGCAGAACAATCGCAGTCAATAGCCTTCAATGATCAATAAGTAGAGAAAGTGAACTCCTACACCAAACTCTTGGGAGTTGTTTCTCAATGTGTTCCCTAGCAGGTACCCCATGCTCTCAGAATATTGTCACATTCACAATGGTTTGGAAGGTAAATTCTGTACACCAAAGAGACTACCTTTCAGACCTATGCTGAGATGTGGGTGGTGATCTCTCAGGCAGGCATGTCCCGTCCCATTAGCAATCTGTAGATCCAAATTGATAGCTCAAACACCAGTAGGATGCCAGCAGACAGGCAGTGGGACACTTCAAGAAACTAATGTGTGTTCCCTGTTGCCAAAGCTAAGCCTGCTCAAAAGAGATCAGGATTCATCCTCTGTTCCTGGTATGTCAGGGCTCATGCTTGTAAAATTAACTTCTTTGTCTCTCCAAACAGTGTTCCCATGTTGAGATTGCTAAAATTATGCCCAACAACCTATGCATGCTAGCAAAGTATCAGTACAGACAGGCCCATGTTCATACTCCATTCTCAATTCTAGCACCATTTACTTTACCACATTAAGTTTACCAAGTCTCCTGAGGTAAATTTATAGATCAGAAGGTCTATAAAATTTGACTTCTTTCAAAATATTGTAATGAGCTAATCTCAAAGTGATAAACCTATTCATAAAATCAGCACAGCTCCTTTTCTGGGGGAAATACCACAGCTGCCAACTGCAGTGAAGTTGGAAAACTGGTACCATGCCTGTTTTGGTCACATGGTCATATAAATTCCTGTGAATATAGAACACTCCTGCGAGCAATCATAGCTGGTTTCATAAATTCTGTTTTGAATAAGGGTTGTACTTTCTATTGGACACACAGAAAGTGCTTCAGTTTGTAGTTCCCATTTTTAAAGTTTGCATTATGTTTCAATACTGACTTCCTTTCCTCTACTCATTATGAAGCCTAGGGAAGGTAAAAATATTCAGGGAATGTGTAAAATAGTTTTGAAGCTATTGGTAAAGCACACAGAACTGTTGTTTCAAAATGTGGGAAGACCTCAAATGTAATTTTGGTAGGAGAAATTTAGTAAAGAATTTCTGAAAAATGTTTTCTTACCTATTTTCGCTCTGATTCAGAGACAGTGGTAAGATTCTCTTTAGCTCTCATAGGTATCTAAGCCACTTAAAATGACTACTAAGGATAAATAGAGTGGCACAAAATTGCTTTCTATTGAACTACCTCTAAACAGTCAGTATTATTCAGTATCACAACCTAGAGAGCTGGCACACATTAAAAAAAATGTCATAAAGAGAAGGTGGTAATTATGGAACTTTTTTCATATATTGGTCCTTCTTCATACATTTTAATAATCTCAGATGTTATATCTAATACAAGTTGTTTAGAAATTTTCTGTAAAACTCTAGGATTTGGGAAATGTTTACCCATGTAAAAGCTCCATTTTCTTCAAATGTGGAATAAATACTTAGGAATTTGCATAAACTAGCTGTAAAAAATAACTCGATCCTGTGGTTTTGGGGATTTTTTCTGTCTTCAGAAGTGCATGTAGTGTAATGTTTTGAACTTAATTGGTGCATCTCAGGGGGAGTTTTGGTGTAAAAGGAGTGGATTTTGACCCATGTAGCTGTAGAAAGTAAAAGTCAGTGATCTCCATTAGACTCTCTATCCCGCTGGGTAGTATCAGTTGCCCTTTTGTTATTGTAAGCTCTTTCTCTTACTTTTACTGTTTAAATAAATATATTGAAGCCAAAGAATTAATGACAAATTCAGGAAGTCTTGACTTAACGGTGATGAAGTGAGATGCGTTTTGTGCCATTCAATGTACACAATTTATGGCCCCGTTTGATTACTGCGGCATGTCCTCCGCCTGTAAGGATTGCACCCGGGGGACCAGTCAACTTATTAATTCATCACTTGCTGCCTTTCATGGTGCAGTAGCCCTTTACGGCATACAAGCAGAGAGATCCTGGAATCTGAAGGCTGCCGGCCGGCTGGTTCCACTCTAGCTGCCCCTTTGTGTGCAGGCACAATGCTGGTAACTTTTCCCTGGGCTCCTCTTTCTCAGAGGCAACTTTACCCTCCTTTTGTCTTACAATAGGAGCATGGTTGCAGGGACTTCCAGGGATGAACGGCCTTCCACAAAGTTAACCTGTAGCTTTTTTAAGTGCCTTTTGATTTATCTGTCACCTGATCCATCAGCAATGAATAATTTTCATGGAAGGTGCACTTTAATTACCTTCCCATTTGACTAGCATTATCATGCCGTATCTAGGTAATTAATCTCACAAAGTATCCAATTTCAGTCTTTATTGCTGGCAGGCAGGCCTTCTGAATTATATGTGCTTGAATGGGCATTGGGTCTGTTGTTAAACCAAATAGGCCATGAAACAAATTTTGGGTCCTTTATTTTTTTCTGTCTTTTTTTTTTTTTTTTTCCCTTAGCTTAATGGGTTTGTACAGATGTTGTGGTCTAGTTGCTTTTGTTGACATAGTTGAGATTTGCATTATGTAAAGAAGGAAAGGGCAATGGTAGAAAACTGTGCTTGATAAAATAATAATTAAAAGCACAGATCATAGAAGTCAATCAGTCTCTGAAGAAATAGTTACCAGGTTGTGAAACCAGGTACCAAAAATAATCTTTTTTATTGCTCTTGAATAATGTATAACTCTCACAGTATGAGCTCTGTATGCCGAATAGTTACTTTGTAGAGCTGATGCTTTCACAGGATAAATTAGAAGTCCATTTCACAATATCAGATTAAGGATTTCAAATTGTGTTCAGATTTGTGTTTCATTGCTCTGTGGGTAAAAGATAAACCTTTAAAAATGTACTGTTGAAACAGAAGATTAAATAGCATGGTCATAAATTTGTGTGTGAGGCTATTATTTTTTCTTATGTCTCTCTCATTAAAAAATGGTGAAGAACTAAGGTATTGAGAAAACTGAAAAAAAAATTTGACTCACTGGTTAAATAATTGCATGGTGCAAATCTTTCATTTGGTTCCTTACAGTTCAGACACACTGAGTATTTTGGAAATTCCTGTCTAACTTTTCTGAAAGTGATTTTTTTCCTTCTCTGTTTCCTCTCGGTTTCTTTCCCATTCCCTAATGAAAAAAAAAATCTCAAAGGTTTTGACAGAGAAAAACGTTAGACTCAGGTGAGAATTCCTTGAGAATTTTCCCAAGTCCATTGCCTGGAAATAAATTTATTCACTTTATCACTGAAGCTGATAAAGTAGTATATTAGTTAAGGTTCATGTTTTAAGTACAGAACAGAATTTATGGATTAGGGAAAAAAAATTAAAAAGGAATTAATAAAATATGAGGATTTGTGAGGGAAATTATGAAATCTTGAAATCATAGGAGTTTTTTTTTGTATTTATGATTTTTAAGTTAGCAAAAATATCTGAATGATTCATATAACTAAAAGCTCTTGAAAGAAGCAGGTAGTTTTACAAAGGCACAGTTGAACTTGTAACACAGTTTTTTTTTTTTTAATAACAGGACTTCTTAGATATTGTTTTATTATGTGACAGGTTATTTTCCTATTTAATGGAGGTACTTTTTAAAGTCAAAAGTTCTTCATACACTAGAAAATTTTGTATAATTGTGGGTTATGCTTAGAATTATTTTAAGGGAAAAAAATCTGAAAATATTAAAGTGGTTCTAAAGTGGAGACAACTGTGTTTAACCACTTCACTTCT